TATCCAAACCAAATCATTTACTTACTGCTTACAGAGCTTATGCAGTGATAGACAAAATGATTTTTCTTCGGTTCCAACTTATTTACCTAAGTAAAAGAGAGCATAGGCTCTCTTGCATAGGCTTCCTTGAAGACAGCTAAACAGCTACAGACAACCCAAGGACAATACAAGATTATATGAAATGATACTATTCTTATTTTCTGGACCGTCTTGCAGACAGAAATATTCAGAGTTCAAAATGCAAAATGAGTTAAAGTTTGTTTACAACAGATTTACTATACGGATGTTAGCAGAGCTTTCAATGTTTTGATATGCCTGGACCTCTGATGGAAGTCAAATATTTACTAAAACTCTTACTAGGCTTATGGTTAACTACTGTTTAGCCTTTGTTTTTTGCTAAAATTTTTACGTTAAAAGAATTTACAAGCTCTGGAGTAAGATACACCCCATTATTTTTTAAAACGTGTGCTTGTACATCAAAGGCTATGCCTCCTTCACTTAAAATGAACAATCCAAGTAGAATAGAAGAATGGCTTACAACTGACCAAGAAATAAATATGGTTCATTATGCTAATGAGAAAAATAAAAAAAAATGCTCTCAATGTTGATGACAAGTCAAGGAACACAGATTACAGTAAAGATGATTTTATGAAGAAAATCCACTGAAGAAAACACTACTTCAATCTTGGATTCAATTATTCATTTCGCAGAAAGGCAGCAATGTCATACTGTCCCACAGGTTCAACACTTACGTACCATTAAACTTACATTAACAACAAGTAAATTATTTTCTGAACTCTATTTTCCTGGCTATCTCCTAGGATGAGTAGTATCCTTTTAATTTTAGATTCCAGAAAACTATTGTATAATATAACTGATTAGCAGAAATATTAAATTATGATGAAATGTACTCTATTAACTGAGGAAGTACATCATTGTATGGTTAGAAAGATTACCCTGAAAAACAGGTAAAATTATCTGAGAGCTTTAACTTGCCCTCAACATTTCCTAGCCATAATGGGCAACTAATGATGCTATAAAATTCTATTCCATATTCTATATTCTATTAGTCTACTAGTTGTTTGGGGTAGGGGATGTGGGGGTGGGGAGAGGGGTGATGCCATTCCTGGCCTGTTTTAACCTTTCAGAGATGATCTCTATTTAAAGGTTGTTAAGTAATTAAAATGTACAGAGTCCTCAAAACTGCTTACTGTAAATTCCCTAGTTTCCAAACTTAGGATGTAATCTAAATTCATATCCTCAATTTTGTTTAATTCCTATCCCTTGCACCTTGCCAGGCCTTTTTGGGGTCGGGAGCAGAGACTTATAACCAAATTGTATGTGTTGGCAATAGGGCTTTAGCTAAGGGACATCCCTGCAATTAACCTAACTCCGAAGAAATGACTACAGCCTGTGAAAGGACACAAGAGTTCCTCCAACTGTCATAAAGAGTTCTCAAACTGCTGCTCGAATTTTCCTTTGCTACTCCTCCCTACTTTCAAATGGACTACATTCAGGGAAAATAAATTATCCCTCTCCCTTCTATTAACGCTAACAACTGAAACAGAAAAGTATTTATAAAGTTTAATATATCTCAAACTTCAGATAATATACTAATTTATATCTACTTATGGTTCCTCTCTTCTAAAAAGCTTACAATATAATTATTTTTCAATACTTTCTGAGTGTAACATAGGAAATTGTTTGGTTTCCCATTTAACAAATTATTGATTTAACTTGAGGCAAAAAAGGTTAAGCGACTTACCCAAGGTTATAATTAGAGGTACAGCTGGGGCTAGAAACCAGGTCTCCTGAGTCTCAGCCCAGGGCTCTTTTCCTTAGCCCATGATGCCTTATCAGAAAAATCCAAATACAGTCAGACCCCCAGTTACATGGGTATGAGTTACACTGATTCACATATACAAACTTTATATAGTGTGACCAATGTTTCAACTCACGCGGTACCCTGCTTCCATTTATGCAGTATGCCAGGCATCGGCACGATTTTCAGTGGCACACAGGCGGTTGCCACCACCAGGGCCCTAGGCAAAATTGCAAAGAAGGCAAAGTTTGTCTTTGGCCCTCCCACCACCCTTATGCATTCCTCTCCCACCTCCTGGTCATCCCCCTGCCCAGCCTCCCAGCACCATCATGCTGCCCTCTGGTTGTCCAAAGCCCCCCACTTCCACCACTCACCCAGGACTGACCTTCCTGGGAGTGCCCAGTGTTCCAAAATTACCTCTCCATTTCCCTGACACTAAAATTCCTATTTCTAAGAATTTCAATGAAGTTTAGGTAATCTAAATGATTAACTGATTTAAGTAACTCAGAGTAAGGTCTACTTTTAATAGATTTACATCTCCAAGGAGTTTTAAAAAGAATTAAACACTGATTTGGGGGGAGGGGAAGAAGGAAGAAATATTTTTATTGGTGGAGGAGATGGGGAGGTGAGAGGGAAAGGTTTTCCCAGCGCCCTAGGCCTCTTGTGCCACTTCAGATTCCCTGAGACAGGACACTAGGGGTTGAGGGGCATTATTGCAACTTTGAGTCCCACTATCCCAGAAGACTGTAGTTGTCTTATAGTCTCTGGGGTGATTTAAAAAAAAAGAGAGAGAGAGAGAGAGAGAAAGAGAGAGAGAGAGAGACAAAGCTGCCTTAAATACCTTCCCCTACCTACCTTTTCCATCTCTCTCCCACCTCTTGGATCCCCATTTCCACCTCTTAGTGCCAAAGACACCCAACAGCATTCCCTGTAAGCTGTTCCTTTGTCCAATACAAAGCTTTCCATTATGTGGTTTCAAATTATATGGTGTTATTCAGAAACGTATCCATGTCCCCCTACCCCTGGATAACTTGAAGTTGACTGTATGCTAAAAAAGAACAATCCTAATTATTTAAAGGTCCTGAATCATAAGATGAAATATGTAAATTCATTATCTAGTAAGAAGGAAAAGAATGTTCTGATTCTTATCTTGTATACATAAAAGAATTAATCTGGACATCTAAAAAAACATTCAATTCTTTTCCTTGAAAGTAGTAGGTTTCTTACTTCTGGCCCAACACAGCAGTGAAAATCCAGTCATTTCAGCTAAATAATATCGTGGACTTGTTTACATGAGTTCATGGTAAATCCTCTTAGTCTGGAGGCAAAAAAAATCCAGTAACAGACACATAAAAGTGTAAATTTGTATACAAAGCAGAATGGATTTTAAGAAACCCATGTTTCTGCTGTCTACACACACAGGAATAGAAAGAAAGGTATTTTTTAATGTAGCTTTGCAATACTAGATTGGCTACCTAGTTTGGAAATTTATCAGGCAACTGATTAACAGTTACTTTGCTCCAACTACCCTCCCAGTAAAATTAGAAAATTCAATCCATGCAGAAGGTACCAAAAATGGTATCCATCTAGGATTAAAACTTTCATGTAAAATCTTAAATGATTTCCGAATTGCTATTCCAAAAATCAGTTATTCTATCAACTAAAATCCTGAATTAGGTCTCTTCCCAATACCGTCTTCATTATGGAAAAGGAGCAATGTCAAGACATGCTGCAGTTATAAAATAGCCATTCTTATCTAAAGTGGAAAATGAACAGGTTAACAGTCTCTCCAGGGGCATTTTTAATTAATGTTAACTTTCAAGGGTTTACTACACAAAATTCATTTCCTTCCCAATCTTCCCCTCCTCTCTACACAACCACAAATAGGTCTGCCACCTCCACCTATTTGTTTATATGTCCTATGAAGACAAGTTGCCAATGTGGGTTTCTATTAAAATTCAAATGTGAACACTGAAAAGCCACTCTTAATATGCATTGCGAAAAGTATATGAATTCAGTACATATTTTTTAATCTACTCACATATTTTGCTGCAAAGTACTCAAGAAAATCAGAAGAGCAACTGTTAAAAATGTAAGTGTGCCTTTTCTCTTACGTCAAGCAATTTAAATAACTTTTCAAGAAAAAAGCATTTCTTTAATGGCTAAGAAACAATCTACCTAAACAAGCAACATATAAAAATGAACAAGTGTTTTGCTGTTATAAGAGAAAGTACTAAACTAGATCTTTCCTCGCAAATAGCATGGATTTGAGCTCAATTTGAGAATACACTGTTATTATCACCAAAAAAGCAACAGCATTTCATCTTTTTATTAGAAATTCTTTATGACAAGATATCCAGCAATTAGTGATTTTCTACACAAACTCTAACCTAAGTGCTTCAAAGGACTGTTTCCCTCAATTCTATTTCACTGGGCACCACATTTTCAAAATGGCTCTATTTGGGGCACATTCAAGATTTGTCAATATTTACTGAACAAAGCTTCTATTAAATTCTCTAACAAGATGGAGGTCTCTCGGAAAAAACAGGCCATAACATTTTTTCTTTTCACAAAATGGGGCCAAACACACCCACTTCAAGAAACCATGGTTTGGGTCAGATTTTTTCCATAAGAATGGTTGTTTCTGTGGGGATCGAGAGTGCACTTCTGGGGCTGGAATCACTGTGAAGGTTTCCTCCGGACCCAGGTAAGGGGCGGGGGGGGGGGTGGGGGGAGGGGGCGGCCAGTTGTCTCTGGATGCTCGGGAGGGCGGCGGCGAGGGATGATCCCAAAGCTCTGGGTGAAGGAATTAGTTCAGGGGCGGAGGCTTTAGCGGTCCACCGGTACCTCATCAGCCACAAGACGGGATGCCCCACTACGCCAACAGAGACGTAGGCTCCCCCATCCCAGACAAGTCAACATTGAATCTCAAACTCTCCTTTCTGCCTCCAGGCCCCGTCTGACCCCATTGGCAGCAGTTCCCGCCAATCCGCTCGGTCACCGCCCCCCAAGCCCGCCTGCCCAACCCTGATTGGATGGGACGGGAGCCGGGACCTCGTGTTACCAATCTGGGAGCCCCTTACTCAGCCACACACGCAAGCCCAGGTACGCCCGCGGAGCCCCTTCCCCTCGCTTTCCCTTCCCCTCCCCCACCCCCAGGGCACTGGCAGACACTTACCGTCCCGGGAGGTGCCCATCAACTGGTCCAGCATCGCGCGCATCTGGGCCTGCGCCGACATGGCGGCGGCGTAGCAAGCGGGCGGGCGGGGGTGGGGCGCAGACCGGGCCCTTTCGGGCGGGGGGGACAGGGGAAGGGGTGGGGGAAGGTGAGACGCTGTCTCAGTTGCCGCCGCCGCCGCCTCGAGGCGTGTGGAAAGGGAGCTGGAGGGCTTGTAGTAGGAGAGTCCGGGCTGCGCTCCTCACGACGATGCGTAAGTGGAAAGCAGCAGCCCCCGAAAGCAACCCTCGTTCCCTCACTCTCCGTCTGGTCCTGGGACAGAAGCGTTACGGGCTAAGCAAGCTCTCGCCTCCAGCACCGCCACCCGCCAGAAGCCGTCAGCCCCCCCTTCAAGCTCTGACGCCGCTCGCCGCCACCGTCGCCGGGACGTGAGCGCGCACGCTCCTCGCGCTTAGTTGTTTCCCGCGGGGGCTCCACCAACTGGCGTCCAACTGTATTTGCTCCACCCGCCCCGCCCGGGAGAGGTTCCGCCCTAACGGCTTTCGGGCGCGTGCACGCGGGCTTTGCCCGCCCCTTTCCCCCAGATCTCGCGAGAGTGCTTATCAAACGACCCTCGAGCTAGATCCGCCCGAGGCGCCAAACTGCACGCACCTTTCTGCAAGTGGGCTAGGGTCGCGCGGCACGCTGTGCTGGCGAACCGGACTCAAATTAGCAAATGTGCCAAAGGGTTACCCCGAGTCGAAAGTAAGTGGAGACCATGCGGATCGGTTCTACTGAGGTTAGCAATCTTAATAGTTAATGCAGGCGTGTTTCTAACGACTATTCACTGACCGATTAACTCGCTTTCAGGGGCCCGCCCAGAATCTCGTACACTCAACCTTTTCCCCACTGCTGCCTTGACCTTCTATAAAAGGAGCCCTGCAGAACTGACGTCTGGGTAGTTTCCCTTCATGAAATAACACCTGAACTTAATAACACTAGCAAACAGATGATCTAACCCATTCAGATTATCATTATTTATAACAGGAAGCTGTTAGTCTAAATTTGGAACTATAAAAATTGAGCAGTATCTTCAGAAAGGAAAGGAGGTGATTTTTTTTTTTTTAAGAGAATTTCTTTTTCTTCCTGCTTAAGAGGTAAATTTGAAGAATTAGGCCTTTTCAGTGTATCAGCAGCATTGCCAACGGGAAAGAAAGCCTGTGCGTTCATAGCTTGCCATCACCTTGGATTCAAAATCTTAGTCGACTAATTGCTAACTGGAACCTTCAGCAGTTTATTTCGTGATCTCATGTTTGTGGATATAAATACATACAGCATTGTTGTGAGGGTTAAATGAGCTAGCAGAAAATGCTTAGCCTGGCATTTTCACTTTTTTTGTAAAATACTAATTCTTTAAAACGAGACCTAGGTACTTCCTAGATACTTGGGAAGGAAATAACTAAAATTTTTTCATTAAAAATTTATATGCATCAGCCTGGAACTTATAATTTATTCGCAAGATTAGTAAAAAACATAAAATAGTAGCCCTAGGCCCAGTATCACTTTGAATCTATATTGGGCCAATAAAAAATTTTAAATTATGCTGTCTTTTGTAACTGACAAAATAGTTTCCCTCCAGTTATTCAAAGAATTCAAAATTCCAGCAACTCCAAATACTAAGAATATTACCGAACACAATTCGCAATAAAAGTGTACAAATTATCATGTCTTAGTGGGAGGCATATATATATATTTATATATATATAATCTTCTGAAAAATTTAGGAGGGAAGTAAACTAACATGTTGAAATATCTATGTGTTAATGAGAATTTAGTTTTTATCTTTTACCTTCTACTTTTCTGGTTGCTTACATTTTATTTATTATTATTATTTTTTTTTTTTTACAGTTCAACTTCTTTATATTACAAGATGAGGACCTGAGACACAACTGGAGGAACTATCCAGTGTCCCAGCATTCAGTGGTTGTTTACATTTTAAATGTATCATAAACATCATATAGTTGGCTTTTTTTAATTTAATAATCATATTTTCTTTTCATTGAAGCGATTATTCATTTATATTTGTGTAATTAGTCTTTTGGTCTTAAAGCTCTTCTATTTTGCCTATTTGTCTCATCTAGTTAATTTTCTCTCCTTTCTTGCCTGCTTTTTAATCATCCATTCTAGTAATTTGGAAGTTTCATTTTATTTTTATTCTTTTAGTAGTTACCCTAAAAGTTAAAATAGGCATTCTTAATACCTTTTCACTTCCTCCAGATAACACAAAGAAGACTCCTTTTAACCTCTCCTGAAGTTTTATGCCCGTTATCATATGTGTTTTAGTTCTGTTTTTTGAAGCTAAACTTCACGTAATGCTCATCTATTTACCACTTTCTTTTTTCTTCATTCCTTCTGGAGTCTCTGCCTTTCCATCTGGAATCATTTCCCTTTTGTCTGAAGTTTAAACTTTAGGACAGGAGTCAGCAATCTACAGCCCACAGGCCAAATCCAGCCCACTGCCCATTTTTCTGAATAGTTCATTGGAATGCTGCCAGGCTCATTCATTTACTATTGTCTATGGTTGCTGTTGCGCTACGACAGCATTGTTGAGTAGTTGTGACAGAGAACATACTGTATGGCCAGCAAGACTGAAATATTTACTATCTAGCATTTTACTGGAGTTTGCCTAACCTCTTCAGAGTTTGCTTTTGTGTTGGTCTGCTCGTGGGGAACTGTCCCATTTTTTACCTTAAAAGCTTGCTCTTTTGCTTTTCTTAATTCTAGATGGGTATTTTTATTGGGTATAGAATTCTAGGTTTGAAGTTTCTTCAACATGTGCACACCATCTTTCTGCTTAACTTTGCTCCTGTGAAGTCAGTTTTCAGCCTGTTACTCCTTTGCAGATAGTTGGCTGCTTTAAAATTTTGTTCTTTTTGCTCTTGGTTTTCTGCAATTTTACTATAATGTCTCTGGGTGTGGATATATATATATATATATAATTTTTTTTTTTTTCTGCTTTTAGGATTCATTGAGATTTTAGAATCTGTAAACTTGTCTTTTGTCAATTCCAAGAAGTGTTTAGCTGTTCTTAAATACTGTTTCTCACTCATCAATTTCTAGACCTCCAAATAAGTGTTTATTAGACAATTTTCAATGTATTGTCTAGATTTCTTTACTCTGCATTTTCTACCTTGTCTTGACAATCTGCCTTCTGGTACTTTTGTTTTCTGACAAATTTTATAGTTCACTAGTCTCCTTTCAGCTGAATCTAGCCTGCTGCTAAATCCATAAATTGAATTATTTTTTTCAGTTCTATAGTTTGAGTTCTTTCTCAAGTCTTCTGTGTCTTTTTTTTTTTTTAAATAGTTTCTGGTTCCTTGATAAAATTTTCAAGCCTGGCTATTCTTTGAACTTAGTGAACATAATTGTTTTGTAATCTGAGTTTACTAAATATAATTATCTTAAGTTTTTTGTAGTTTTGTTTCTATTGTCTATTATTTCTGCTGTTTTTCACTTTTGGAGTCTTGTTTTCTTGTGTGTCTGGTTATCTTTATGTGCTGAACATGTATCTGAAAAAATATGTATGGGAATAGTATAAGCCTAAGTAAGATCTAAAAAAAAAATTTTTTTAACGTTTATTTTCTTGAGACAGAGCATGAACAGGGGAGGGTCAGAGAGACAGGGAGACACAGAATCCTAAACAGGCTCCAAGCTCTGAGCTGTCAGCACAGACCCTGACGCAGGGCTCGAACTCATGGACTGTGAGATCATGACCCTAGCTGAAGTCGGACACTTAACCAACTAAGCCACCCAGGGGCCCCTTGCCTAAGATCTAATATCTTCCTCCAGAGAAGATTTTTATTTTTCTCTGTCGGTCACTGAAGACCTTACTAGTCAAGGACCACCATAATACAAGTTCAAGGTCTCAATTCCTCTTGACCACCAAAATGACAAAAATCTGGGCTGAAAACCTAGCAAGGACTTTTTGCTTACAGTTTATCCTTTAGGGTGAACTTGAGGATTCTAGATGCAAGTGGATGTGGATTTTTAGAGTGCCTACCTTGAAGGGCCCTAGACTTTGCCTTTTGCATCCCTAACCCTACAAACCCACCAAAACTACAGCTCAGTTTTAATACTGAAGCTGTTACTACAAAACTGGCAAATGCCCTGAAGCCAAATATGTGTCTTTATGTGCTACATTTATAAGGGACAAAAGTGGTTCTGGAAAGAGATACAAGAGGTATGAAGTCTGGACCTAGAGTATTAGAGATTCAAGAGATTCTTAGGAGGTAGAATCAGTGGTGATTTAACTGAGGGTATGAAGGAGCAGAAGCAATCAAGAATGACTCCCATTTTCTGGCTTGAGCAACTGGCACAAGTGGCAGTGGCAGAGAGATTTATAGGGGAAGATGATGAAGCTCTATTTTGAATGCATTGAATTTAAGATGCCTTTGAATCATCTAAGTAGTGTTGTCTGTGAAGCAGCTGGACATACAGGTTTACAGCAGGGCTTGGCTGGAGTTAGCCTGTTGATGATAATTGAAGCCAGGGAAAACATACCAAGTTTGAGGCAACAACCTAGATTTGAACCTGAGGAACATCAACATATATAAGGGATATGCAGAAGACGAAACTGAAGACAAATGGCTAGAGCAAGAGAAGAAAACAAGAATGTGAGGTCCTCGAAGCCATGAGAAAATAATGGTGAATAGTGTCAAATGCTTCCTAGAGGGGCACATGGCTGACTCAGTCAGTAGAACATGGGAATCTTCGTCTCAGGGTCATGAATTCATGACCCCTGTTGAGTTTACTTAAGAAAAAATATGCTCCCTAGAGATCAAACAAGATAAGGAATGATCCACTGAGTTTAGCGACCTGAAGGTCATTTATAAGCTTGCAAGGCAGTTCTGGTAGAGGGGCAGAAACCAGACTACAGTGGATTGAGGATAATTGGGCAGTGAAAAATGCAGAAAATGGACACATGCAACATGGATTATTAGCCTCAAAATCAGTATGCTACTCAAAAGAGTGCATACTATATGACTGCATTTGGATTAAATCCCTGAGCAGGCCAAACTAATTTCTGCTGACAGCAAGCAAGTCAGTGGTTGCCTGGGAGGTGTGGGGAAAGGGAACTGGATTGACTTCAGAGGGGCACAGGGCAACTTTTGGGGGTTACAGAAAGGTTCTTTAAATTTCATGGGGTGGTTCTTACACAGATGTATTCACTTGTCATTATTCATTAGCCTGCACACTTAAAATGGATATATTTATTATATTATACTTCAATATAGCTTATTTCATATTTTAAATGAAGAGGTAGTAACTGAAAAGGCATTTGTTTAAGAGGTTGAGTATGTTTTTAGATGAAAGAGCCTGGAACATATTTAAATGCTACTATATAATTCAGTGAGAGGAAGCAGTGGAAAATAAAGGAGCGAGGGTAAAAGAGACAGCAAAGTAAAGGAATGTGACAAAGCATGTAGCACATGAAACACTAGAGCAGCAAATTAACCCAGTGCAAAAACCTCAGTTCTTGGAACTCCCAAGATAGAAAGTTGAATAGCTTGTGGTCCAAAATCATTTCCTTCTATTTCTGAAACTGAGTTCAACTAATTCTTTTTGGTAAGACCATTAGTAAAAGGTACAGGTTTGAACATACATGGATAGAAATGGCCTGAGCAGGGGCACCTGGCTGGCTCAGTCAGAAGAGCGTGCAGCTCTTGATCTCAGGGTTGTGAGTTTGAGTCCCATGTTGGACATGGAGAATACTTAAAAATAAAATCTTAAAAATCTATTTAAAAAAGATTTGCCTGAGCAAATCAAAGTAAAAAAAACCCTGTCTATAATCCAGAAGATAGGTGGCAATGGGGTTTAGAGAAGGGTTCATGATAAAAGAAGGAAAGTATAGTAAAATGATTAAAATAGTAAGTTTTCTTTTTGTCAAGTACTCCTTATTTACTGTGCAAGTATTTTATGTATTTATTACATACAACCACCTTGTTGGCATTCCCATTTTACAAAAGAGGGAACAAACTCAGGTCAACTAATCTGCCCAAGATAACACAGCTGGTGAATTACAAAAGTGGGTTAAAACCTAGGTCTCTATCACTTCAAACCCATAATAAATATCTTACCCTGGTTAGGCAATTCTGCCTCAAACTTTATTTTTTTTATAACTTTAATGTTTATTTATTTAGAGAGAACACAAGCAGGAGAGGGGCAGAGAAAGAGGGAGACACAGAATCCAAAGCAGACTCCAGGCTCTGAGCTGTCAGCAGAGAGCCTGATGTGGGGCTCGAACTCAATAGCTGTGAGATCATGACCTGAGCCGAAGTCGGATGCTCAACTGAGCCACCCAGGCACCCCAAACTTTATTGTATATATGATATCGTAACAACAAAGGAAATCAAAACATCAACATACCCTAGTCCTTTTGCTTTCTTTATTTTATAAAAGTAAGACATCTTCAGATAATGTACTCATACCTGGTGCGCCTGGGTGGCTCAGTAGTTGAGACTCTGACTTCAGCTCTGGTCATGATCTTGCGGTTTGTGGGTTTAAGCCCCGCATCGGACATTGGGCTGACAGCATGGAGCCTGCTGCAGATTCTCTCCCTCCCTCTCTCTCTCTGCCCCTCCCCCACTCATACTTTCTATCTCAAAAATAAACATTAAAATAATAATACACTCATGCTCATGAAACAACATGGGAAACAAAGTGTGTTAAATTTTTCCAGTTTTTTGATCTGTTAATTGAATAAATGCTTGTTTGACCTCTTAATACTATTGTTTTTATGTTGATCTCTTAGAAGAGATGGTGTTTGGAATGCTTTATGAATAGTTCTGTTCAGATTGTACTCCTAGCGAGTAGTACTGAGCTATGTATTCAGAATATGGAATAATGCTACGTGTAAGTCACCATGGATGGTGCTTTGGAGCCTACAAAGATGCATGAGACTGGCCCTTACTCTTCAGGAGCTTGAGTCCAGGGAAAAAGCAGCTGTAAGACGTGCCTACAAGAAACCAACCTAGGCCACAAAGTGGTCACAGATAACCACTGGTAGTTCACAGAAAGGGTAATTTCTATTCAAGAATGTTAGAAGCAAAAAGACCATTTAGGAGACTAGTTTAGTAGTTCAGACAAAAGACTGTTAGTGCTTGAACAAGAAGAGAGGCAATGAAGAGACGGGGCGGCTGGGGGGGTGGGGTGAGGGGGTGGGATGTCAGAGCCATTGCAGAAGCAAAAACTGCTGATTGACTAGATATGGAGACTAAGAAAAGTCAGGAATACAGAATGAAGCCCAAGTAGTTTACTCGGTCAGCCCAGTGTGTGGTTGGGAGCCCTTTACCCTGATAGAGAATTCAAGATGAATAACAATTTGACAGATTAGAAGGTATAAGTCACTATGCTCATTCCCTCTCCCTCTCCCTGGACTTCCTCTCTGCAGTCTGCAGTTGAGTGGTGGTCATATTCCTACACCTAAGGGTCAACTCAGCCTATGTTGCTAGCCTCTAGGAGCATCGCATCTTTACCCCTTCATTAACTCTCCTCAGCAACCCTATTTAATTGAGTATGCCACCTGTTTCCTGTCAGGAACTTAAAACACATCATATTTTTGTGTTTTGTACTAAAGTGTGCGTGTGTGTGCACGTGTGCGGCCATGCATAAATATAATTGTATGCTGGTATAAGGACAGGAAATAGCTGGAAAGACACACACCAAACTGTTAGCAACGTTTCTCACCAGTTAACAGGGATGGGAGAAGGGAGGGACAAGGGAAAAGAAAAGGAAGCTTTTATTTTATATTCTATACCATTTGAATTACTTAACACAATAGGTTTGTATACTTTAAAAATAAAAATAATAAAGTTTTAAAAAAATGAAGAGCATCAATCAGCCTAATGTAAGAAGTTCAGTAAATTCACTAAGAATAAAACCTAAGAAACACTCAGTTGACAAAATTAGAGAAAAACCCTAAACTTAGAAACAAATTTAATGATAAATACATAGAAATGATTAAGTTCTTGTATGAAGGCAGCATCCAAGGAATCTCTCCATTCTCATGGCTCCCAGCCCTTCCCTCCAGGTTGCTGGGGCAACTTGAGACCCACCAAGCCAGCAGACTCCTCCACTGAGCGCTCACCCTTGCCATGAAATTCCTGATGAAGGGTCACATGTTCTCGAATGCTGCGTAGGAGGCAGAGATAGGTGGCAGCTTGGAAATGAAGCTCATGTTGGGCTCTGCACAACTTCTCACTGGTAACCTGGAGAAGCAGCAAGGTCACATACTTTATTAACAGCCCAGCCACAGATACAGAGCCAGAGAGATCTAATAAGCATTCTCTAGAATGGAAGTAAACTGCACAGAGGAAATATAAACATGCATATGTATATGCTAATTACAAATGTAGAGGCACTCTGTTGATTAGGGAACCTGACCTCTAATTAATTGAAGAGGAAGTTTACAAGGAGTTTCACAGAGGAGTTTCATTGAGTGTCCTCATATTTTAATAACTGAAAAAGTCATTTCAACACTCTTGTTTTACAAATGAGGAAACTAAAGCCCAGAGGGGCTCAATAGTTGGTTACTGGCAGAGACAGGAAACTATAATCATTAATGTCGCCTAAGGTGTATAGAACTTTCTCCCCTTCAAACAAATGAGTCTGATTTTTATATTTCTGACTTTGGTCAAGGTGGTATATGATTATCATTTCAATGAAAAGTAAAACCATTTTGTCTGAAAAATAATAGCTTTGTCCTCAAGGTAACAAAATGTAGCCTTTATATATAAAATTAATATGCATCTATTCATTATAATTTACTTATCCATCTGAAAAACCCATATTCTGATAACTGTTAAGTAGCTAGAAATGATATCCATTCACAAGTCGCCAATAATTCCAAACTTGTTTTTTCTTCATCACAATTACTTCCCAGATTTAGTACACTGTCCTTTATTTAACTTTGCGTTCTGAAGTTGTGAGAAAAGGAAGAAAAGGTGAGACAAAGATGTGTACATAGCTTAAAATGCTTAAGGAGCCCTGTGTTTCTCTAAATGTAGATTAACCTCTGTGTACCACTGCCTATGTAAACCCCTTTGACCTTTCTTTACTTGAATATGTAGAGTTGGAATCTGAAAACCAGAAAGTGTGGTTTAAGATCTGCACATCACACATACAAAAAAAGATCTGCAGATCACATATGTGAAAATAACACTCATAAGCTGCTCAAAAAAAGAACTATCTGCTTTAATCAGTTAACTTTTTATAAAAATCTGTGAATGAACAACACCAATGTCAAACTTTTAAAAAAGGTTAACATCCATTTCTATAATAAACACCAAAACTGATAAAGATTGGAAACAAGAATTCTGTTAGTGTAGGCCATGATTCAGCTAAGCCTGAATCATGAGTCAGAAGGGTCAGCAATATATAAACAGTATATGAATCACAAGAGACCAAATGAAATCAAATGAAAAAAAAAAATTTTTTTTTTTTTTCTCTAAGGAGGAGGCAGAGGTTCCTAACTGAACCCCTTCAGTTAAGGGAAAGGATGGAGAAAATGGGCATAGATGGTTATTGAGCTAGCTCTGAGCCAGCAGGAAACAAACCATTCTTCATATCCTTGCTGTGTTTCTGAAACTTGTAACATGAATTTACACAAAATTTGAGAGCCTCTCTTAAGAGCAATAATGCCCCCATAAGGTGGTACAGCTATAATCATGTCATCTTAAAAATCTTAGAATGACCTTCCATTACATTTACAATGAAGTTTAATAAGTTCCTGCCTACCACAACTTCTACTTCACCTACCACACCTTAAGCTTCAACCAGTCTCAAATGTCTGTTCTCACCTCTGGGCTTTTCAGTTGTGCAGCTTCTCCACCTGGACCTCATCTTCCCCAACCCCCATTTGCTTGCAAAATCCAATTTACACATCAGGTCCCTGCTTAGTTTCTTCCTGAAATCCTGCTTAATTTCCTCCTGAAATCCTTCTTTATACAAGGACCTCCTGTTGTTTATGCTCTTAGCACTTTCTTATTCCAAGTGCTTTCTTGTAGGGTTCTTCGTAAACTTCTTAAAAGACAGGACCCGTGTGCATCTGATTCATCATTTTAGCCAAGTTCCTAGAAGTCCCTAACACTGTGGCCTTTTAAAAAGGTTTTGAATTTTAGCCCCACGTTGGGTATAGAGCTTACTTGATAAAATTATGTATGTGTGTGTGTGTGTGTGTGTGTGTGTGTGTGTGTGTGTGTGTATATATGATAGGTAGATACAGATGATAGATATATATATCTTGATATATATATATCTTGATAAAAAGATAAAAATGTATGAATTTTAGTTCTAACATAATGCATTCTAACTTCCATAGCTTAAAGATTCAACAGGATCCTGGTTCTCCCTTTTCCCACATTGCTCAAAGGACAGTTTCCTACCCTAAAGCCCAAGATGACTCTCCAACGTACTATTTTGGAGATAGCTTGCAACTTCCTTCAAAGCCCAATCCGTAACTCTAAAGACAGCTATTAAGTGGAAGACCGATTATTTGGGAACCTAGCTTCTAGTTGTTCCTATACAAGTCCTTGCACGGGGTCCCTGAGCCTCAGTTGCCCCATTTGAAAAATAAAACATCTTCACCCGATCTTGCCTAACGGGAATATGGAGTGTGGAGTTCACAAAGGAATTTCCCAAGGATGGCTTCCCATATGTTCATATTTATCTGCTACAGAAGGAAAAAATATATCTGGGCAGATATCACATTAATGTTGTGATAGCGCAATGTCATTACAGATCTCTCTAGTTCAGCTCCACAGGCACCATTTCCTTTAAATGGGGAATGAAATACAACATAAGTGAAACACGGTTCCTGCCAAATTCTTAATATTCCTCATCTTATTACAGTTATTTTCCGCCTCAAAAAATGGTTTTTAGAGTAACTACCATGGGAAGGATGAGGAGAGTGGTTGATAGATGCTGCAGCTAGTGACCCTACACTCTCCATCAAGTGCATCTCTCCTTTACCAACCCCCGCCCCATCCCCTGCACTTCCCATGGCTCTGACTTTGTCCTCTGCACCTGCAAAAGACCAGCCAATGAAATCCCCGCTCCTTGGTTAGTCCCCGGGCTTAGGCCATAGACCAAGGACTAGGGCCTGGGTAAGCTTGGCCAGAACCAGGGCTGGGTGGGAGGGTCGGTTTCAGAAATGCAGGGGTTGAGGCCAGACGCTCCCTACCCCCCAGCTAGATCTCACCCCCTTCCCCCTTCCTTCCTCAGGGAACGGCCGCTGGAGCACCCGGACACGGGCTTCCGTACCCGATGCGCACGGAAAGCCTTCACGAGGTACCTATAGGCTGCAGTGTCGCGATAGGGTCGGCCAGTGGCCGCGTTCATGTAGCGCAACTCCCGTAGAAGGCCTCGTAAAGTGCGTGCCGGCGACCCTAAGGCCGCCATTTTCATGTCCTCGGAGCGTGGTGCCCAATGGCGCCCTACGCCCCTCTAACTCCCTCACCCCCGCCCAGCTGCTTAATGGTACGGTCGGACCCACACTGCCGGGTCCCCCCTTCGATCGCCGAGTAGTGGAATGTCTCACTTCCCTTCTCCGCACAGCTTTACTAATCAAACGCCGAGAGGCGCCCTCAGGAGTTAAGACAGAAGCAAACGAAAGCCGAGTGTAACTGACTCAAAGTTCCTTAAGAAACACCGAGAAAGGCCGGGCTAGAGGAAAGGAGGGTCTTTGGTGACTGCGTCATTTAAGACGTCATTAACTGACCGCGGAGTCTCGAGACTAAGTGGGCCTGGTGGGAATGGATGTTGATTTGAACTAGAACACGAAAGATACCCAGAGGGGATATCAGAATTCAGAGCACTGACTTTCCAGAAATCTTACGGCACTGTGGTGGCTCAGAAGAAGGAAATGGAATATGCTTATTCTCTCAAGCAGTAGCCCAACACTTAGGAAAACGACACGTATACTTCCCATTTTTAAAAGGTAAAATTAAGTTAGCATATTTCGTTATAGTTCTTTAAGAGTAGCAAAAGTCCTTTTCAAGACAAAAGTCTCGCCACCCCAGATGGGACTCGAACCCACAATCCCTGGCTTAGGAGGCCAATGCCTTATCCATTAGGCCACTGGGGCTTCTGTGAGCGAGGCGCTCCAACAACGTATTCAATTTTTTTTCCTCTTTGGTACGTCATCGTCACTTAGGTCTCCTTTTAACCTATCCTGAGAAACCACACCTAGTACCACTATGAGGGGTGAGGCATGCTGGGAGTTGTAGTTCAGAGAACAAGAGTCCGCGTTCCAGCTCCAAAGGCTTTACCCTCGAATCAGCACCGATGCGCCGGACGGAGGACGGGCGCGCGCACGGTTTTGCGTACGCGTTTGCCTGCCCGGTAACCCCGCGCCTGCGCAAAAGCGGGCATACGATGTCGCGGAGCCGAGCGCTCGGGGCACATTGGCCGAATCTCGGAGACTCGCCCTCTGAGTTGCGGCTGGGTCGGATTTTTACCGGAAACAGCCGGCCTCTTCCGGTGGTGCGGCTTTCCCACTTAGCTTGGCTCCCACACGCCGTTAGGTGGCGTCCGCAGCGGTCACTTTCTGTTTCCGGTTGTAGGGGTGAGGCCGTTTCCGCAGAGGCATTGGCGAGTTGTGAATGTGTAGCTTACCTTCTGAATTGCCCCGTCAGAGATGAACGTAGGACAGCGGGAATTTATTATTTAATTCGCTAGGAATTAGTTAATTAGAAATAATTAGTAGTTCTTTTTCTGATTCTGTGTCTAATTGGATAACTTGGGTTTCTTGAGTTATCAGCGACCTTAATTCCTCGTTTAAAATCTCGCAGTGGCTCTCCATTGCCCCGGAGACTTGCCTGTATCGTAACCGTCATCTCTCACTAGTCGTTCCCTCACACTCTTTCTGCGCCAGGTATCTCAACTTCTCTGTCTTCCTCGCCTCCCTTTGTCTTATTTTCTCCCCCTGAAGTTTAGCCATTTGTATTAATATTTACCTTTCGGGCTTCCAGTTTCCTTGAGAAGTCTAGGTCAGACACTGCTTTAGGCCTTTGTGGTCAGTACGGTAAAGCGAAAATGATTTATTTCACCTCTGCATTCCTCTAGATTCTCTAGATGACATGTTAATCTTTCCTTTTACGTGTGGATTACCTGTGTCTCCGTTTTATATCTTTCCCGTGAATCAGGATGCAACCGCGCAGACTCCTACTTCCCACTCTTAATAGGTCCCTCCTCCTAGGTCCCTGTCTGGAGAACAGTGGCCAACTTTAAGGTAACTTTAAGGTTCATACTCTGGCTGGAATCCTGACACCTCCAGAATCGACCTTAGAGGAAACCAGACCAGAATGACTTCATATGAGTGAATCAATTTCTCCCTGTGGCATTCATAAAATATTTATCAACCTATAATTCACAAGTATCTGATTTTAAAAGGGACATCTGATGGGGGATGGGAGAGTGGGGACGGTGGGTGATGGGTATTGAAGAGGGCATTTTTTGGGATGAGCACTGGGTGTTGTATGGAAACCAATTTGACAATAAATTTCATTTAAATAAATAAATAAAAATAAAAGGCACATCTCATCTGCAGTAGGGGCTGGGGAGAATGCTATCAGTTAT